ATGCTCAATACTTGCTTTCTTTACCTCATAATTTTCTTGAAAATCAGTTTCATCAATATTTGCTTCCTTCGCTTCATCATTTTCTCCAGCAGTAGCATCCTCAACAGTTCCTTCCTTTGCCTCGACATTTTCTTCTTATCTTGAAGAAATATACATTTTAGCTTCTAGTTGGGACTATAGAAGACTTTGAATACATATTATTTGATTTATAGTGGAGGTTTTGATTGGATTGGGTCTCGTAGCTTTTATTCCTCACATCGGGGAAGTTGTTCCACTTAAAATAATTATTTTTGTTCTTGTGGTTTGATATGATTGATTTTCTTTAAATTAGTTCCAGCATATAAATTGTCAAAAAGGGCATTTTACTTATTTGCTTCTAAGAAGAAGAATTACTTCACTGTGTGTCAATTTGTTTGCATCTCTCTAACAGAATCCTCAATAACGGAAATGGAGGTTGCAATTGCATAGGTCAATGTTGAATAACTATACTTTTTTTTTTACTTTTCTAGATTTTGATTATGTATTTATGTTCTGTATTTTTTTGGTGAGATTTGATCGTATTTAATCGTGTGTTTGTTTGTTTGTGATGGTTTTAACTATTCCGTGTTGCTAACATATTATTTTATCACCTATTTGTTAACCTAATGGTAGTGAGTGGTGCAGATGGCCATTTTGGCTTTAGTTAGTAGTTTCAAATGCTGACGTTATGGTTTGGGTTGGAATGGATTTGGAGTTTGATTCCAAGTGTGAAGGTGGTGGAAGGAGGCTTTTAAGAGAATTGTTCGGGGGTGGTAATGAGTATCGCAAGGGCCATGATAGTGGTGGTAAATAGCAGTAGGTGGTGATAATGGTGGTGGTTGCTAATGAATAGTGGTGGTTGATGGTGAATAATGGTAGTTGCACACTAGTTAGTTAAATGGATGCTCACTGAATTATACTATTGGTTACAACTTGCTCACCGAAAAATAAATGATTATTGAATGCTCACTCAACTATTCATTAATTTACCCATCCATCACTAGGCTCAAATCCGTCCGTACAGATGGACAATAAATTACATGTGGAGGATGAAAAATTAACATGGCAACGACGACGTTAGTTGTGTACACGGTGGATAAAAACGTAATTGGTAAAATAGCAATTTTAGTTCCATTTTCCTTCTAAAATAACGACAACCTCCAATTCTTCATAGAAGAGAGAAATCTGAAATCCCCAACTGAAACCTAATCCTATGAAGAACCAAATCCGTTAATTTGTCATGGAAATTTCTTCATCCACTTCTTAGAATCATGCGATTGGTTTCTATCCTGCCTGTACTGCAGAAATAAAGGAGATGGACTTATATCCTACTGGTATTGAAGAAGCAATTCAACATTCAATGATTGATTCTTTGAGAAAGAAGCCTTAACATGGAAAACTATGGAAGAAAATCGAATGGATTCCTCACAATTTTACTTTACATTTCTTTCTTTCAAATGAACTTAGCTGTAGACTTCATAATGTAGACTTCATATATCCATCGTCGGATGAAATTTCATCATGTAGATTTGAATGATAGATGAATCTTATAACTAAATTTCTGATCAAGAATGATGCAGTCGATTTGGGATGACATGTGCACAGTGTAAACTTCAATTAATTGGGATGTAGATATAGAACTTCTTGGATATGGATTACAAAGTTGGGCTTACCAATTGAATGAGTTAGTTAGAGGATGTGATTTGAAGATAAAAGTTATTTGGGGATGAAAATTCCACCTCTCAAATTTCTTAGAATTTTGATTTTGGTCGTCCAGAAAACGACTGTTAATAATTAACGATTTTGAGATTTAAAAAATAATAATTTTAGATGATGTGGACATCATCATCCAAGCTATTTTTTTTATATCTACATGGAATTTATCGTCCAACTGTACAAACAGATTTGGACCTAGTAATGGATGGGTAAATTAATGAATAGTTGAGTGAACATTTGGTAAACATTTATCATTCGGTAAGCAAGTGGTAATCAATAGTATAATTTAGTGAGCATCCATTTAATTAACTCGTTGCAGGTGAACAATGATATTTTATTAATGATTTTGATTGAACAAAAAGTGAGAATAACATAGATAAACATAGGGTAACATTTTCGTTATCCGTGTAAAACATAATTTTATAAATAAAAATAACATAATGTAACACAACATGTTAGCTGCGTAAGACTTTTGTCCTACATTATTAAAAAAGTGACTTTGATTGCCACTGTTCATAAGCCTTTTGGCCAATGAAGCCAGCCCGAGCCGGTGGAGCCGCATTGGTTGAGCGGCTCCTTTGAAGGACAAAACGATGGGCTGTCCGTAATTTCCTTTTGCTGTAATTTCCTTTTTCTGACAGTAAAGTTATTTCTTACAAGCAACCCTATTTCCCCATTTTTTCACTGAAGAACCTGTGCTTTCTTCTTTGATTTTGAGCACATAGAGCTCTGATTCTTTCTTCGATTACCGCACTAGACTTTTTTCTTAGGCGCAACCTGAAGTGCACAAAAGTGAAAGAAAAGGTAATCGGTTTTCCTGCATTATTTTCCCATTTTTTGCTCAACAGCACGTGCTTTCTTCTTCGATTTTCACCATATGGAACTCTGATTTCTTCTTTGATTACTGTTGCCGTACTGATTTCACCTTATTTCCTCAATGTTTAGCCGTCTCTGCACTGGACGAACAGTGCTCAGTCCATCCATTTTGAAGTCGCTGGCATCGTATCGCCTCTGTGTTGAACGATCGGGTTCCAACGAGTTCTATCCTTGTTCCCTTCCGGAGATCTGAGACACCGACGAACACAGAGTGAGAATAAAGTTTGTTGGTAAGTGGAGCATTGTATATGTTTGTTCGATATATTTTCTAGGTCTATTCTTAGGTGTTTGTTTTTCTTTTTTTCTTTCATATTTGTTTCAATCTTTCGATTATGTTGGGTTGAATTTTTGTTGATTGGTGAATTTCGAACAAGGTGAATTTCGTTTGTTCTTTTAATCCCTTTAACTTGTATATGATATTGCTATTTAATGCGGTGACCTGGAATTTTGTGAATCTGGACGAGAGATTCTCTAACGAGGGTTCCAACTAGGATTTTTTCCTCAGTTCAATTAGGAAATTAAATTAAGCGATTTCGTTTTGACAAAATGATTGAAGGGGACTTTTAAGTGCAATGAGATTGTACTTTAATTTCTTATGTTGTGTGCTGAAGCCCTGGTGATCAGGGGGGTTAGATTAATATTTCTTTTGTAAAAGTTGCGATTTTGGGATTTTCCAATTTAGCCATATTTCAAACCTCTTTGAAAAAAATTTGTAATTCAAGCAAGATGAATTCAAGATAATTGTTAGGGTTTTAGAGTATATTCTTCTGTGTCTAACTGATGCATCCCCTTTAAATCCAAACATAGAAATGGTAGTTTTATCGCTCTTTACTCCAACATTTAGTTGCTCAAACTCTTACATTCCACTCAATTTCTTCACCTCACTGCAAAATTTCTGTGTGGATTCACAGTTCAATTTAAAGGCTAAAGGAAGAATTAATAAAGTATATTGTAGGAAGATTCAGGTTGTGTCGTTGCATTGCAGCCCCAAGATTCTAAAGTGCAATCGCAAATCGAGGTATAAACAGCCAGTCTCGCCTTACGATAGTGAAGAAGATGTCGACGATGAAGACACTGGTGGTGACGTGGTTGACGGTGATGACGATTGGATTTCTAATGTGAGTTTCTATCTTTATTTTCTTTTCAAATTCGATTTATAATTGATTTCTAATGATATTTATGCTACTTTTAGCTCAGAAGAAAGGAATAAATTGGGTTTTCTGGTAGATATTTTATTTGTGATTCTGTATGGACAATAAGCTTTTTCGGCTAAGATGTTGGATTATTGTAAAACGAAAAATAAGTAGATGCAAAGTTGCAAGTCTAGAAATGAAATCTTTACTTGATAATCTGATGAAATCATTCAGAATTTAATTGTTCACTCACCTAATCACAAATTGAAGAAAATGAGGAGGAAAATCAATGTTATGCTGCCTGTCAATGTAAATTATGTAAATGTGGTTTCAAAGATGGACTTACATGCACAATATGAGCACTGTGGAATCTTGTTTTAAATGTAAGTGATTATTGGTTTAACTTTGGCTTGAAGTGCAGGGGTGTGAAATTAATTTTACTATTTTGGTTTTTGGGATACAATTTCATAAATGTTTATGTTAAAGCCTCTTGTAAATTTTGAGAGAAAATAGAACTCTTATCATTGCCTCCAAATTAATGGTGCCATGGTAATTTTGTCAATGGACATATGTGGTAATTACCTGTCAGTCAATCACTGATGCAATGATAATAAAATTCACATTGTATTCAACATTTCAACTTGATATAGTTTATTTATTTGTCACGATCTGATGGACATTTTTTTGATCTGGGATATAGGATGTGTTTGCAAACATCAAAATTTCTGAAGCTGATAGACAACGGTTAAAGACACAGAATTCAACCAGGATGAAACAAAGTATTTGTAATTCTTTGGGTGTTATCGTAGATCTTGAAGTAGATTTATGTGAATGATGTGAAGTTTGGGGTTCAGATTCCACACTTCCAATTGTACATGCGGAATCCACTCTTATATAGCATATGGTTGTTTAGAGACTATCAATGCGATAAATGCTAGTACTTGTTAAAATATTACAAGGTAGGTTATATGAGTTTTGTAATCTTAGATGTTGACCTAACTGCAAGGCATGTTTAGTTCCCACATTATCTTTGGAAGTTTTTTTCTTGACTAGAGACAAGCTGTAACAACATTTACATGCAAATTATGTGATACCTTTGGATTAAGAAAAATCAATACCTGGTTTGTCACTGGAAAAGTCTCTGGAATTAGACTACTTATGAATGTCTATTTTATATTTAAAGAAAATTATAACATGATACCAACTACAATATAATTATGAGTTAAATTTTTTCGAACCCTCTTAAGAGTGAGTGAGTTCTTATAGAATATGGTGCTAAATGCTAACTTGTGGTTCCATGGATGAAATGTTTGATATTGCAATTACCTTGCTATCTTGAGCATTATTAACTAATTTCCCAGATGGTTTTGGTCTTATTCTTTTTCTTAATATCTTTTTTAATATGACAAGAATGTGTGAAATTACGCAATAGATGGCTTTGAGCATAATTAATTAACTTTACCAGATAGTTTTAGTGTAATTATTTTCCCGACTCTGCCTAACTGCCTGTCTTTAAGATCTTCCTAATGTGACAGAGATGTGTGGAATTAATGCAATTGATGACCTTGATATATCCTCACTTAGGTATTATTGAATTGTTTGGTCAATAAATTGTTATCATACTTTATAGTTTATCCTATATGGTACTTTCTGGTTACATGGATAGCCTTTATATATCCTCGGTTAGATATTACTAAACTGTTTTGTCAATAAGAATATTTTTATCATGCTCTATAGTTTATTCGATACTGAACTTGCTGCCACGTGGAGGTTAAAGAAACGGGTAAGTCGGTTTGGAAACGAATATAATGTAACCTATGCTTCTTCTTTAACCTTGTAGGATAATTCATTTTCAAACATCATAAAATGTGGCTCTGTTTCATCATTGAGCATGATATATTATGGTCGTACTTGATTGAGTTAAAAGTTTTATTAGGGAACTTGTAATGTCCAAGATTGCCAGTGTCCTTAAATTTCTGTTTATATAATTTTGTATTATTGAATTTCGTAATTCAAAATTTGCTCTTCATTAACGTTAGTGCTTCTTGTTTGGTTTTGCAGTTCCCTTGAAGAGAGATCTCTATTTTACCAGTACATTGTGCAATTGGTCCCTTGTAGGATCAGAAGCATAAGGATGGTGGTTGTGAGGTTCAAATTTATTTGCTTGAACTCTTCAAATGTGTTATCTTTGTACATAACCGTTTTGGCAACATGTTGTGTCCTACTTATCAGTTCTTTTTAATTTTTGACATGTGAGGATATAACACCTGCATATTTGTTTATACTCTCTTAATTTCTGACACGCAATAGGCCTGACACATTAGGGACTCAATTAGCCTATTTAGTAAACTCTTTTACAAATAANAAAATGTATATTGGCCGAACCCTGATTTCGACTTAATTCCGCTCTGAAAAAGGTTGATGTTGGGAGCAAACTAAAACTCTCACATCGGTTGGGAGAAGAAAAGAAATCCACCATATAACCCAAGTGGGCTACTCCACCCATTGCCAATTGGTTTTGGGTTGGAACCTCACTTGGGCCGGTGGTGTGGGCTTGGGTCTGGGTTATTGCTCCTTATTATCCCAACAATATCCCTCATGCAACACCTTTATATTAAAGAATGTAAAAATTATACGAAATCTTTGTCTCCAATTGCTAAGGTTGATAATAAATAGTGTTTCAATTAATGTTCTTGTTCTGTTAGACAAACCATCCAGCATCCATTATTCTCGAAGAACAAACTGCCTGTATCTTCTTTTCCTTATATTGGCTCCTCTTCTGGTTTGTACGCCAGTCAAGGGTTCAGGAAACCAGGCTTGTTCCAATATTTAACAACGTTTGATAAGCATCTCGAAACTCTTCTTGAAGATGAAATGCCCAATTTTCTCCAAGCTCCATCTCCTAACAGTTGCATTAAGACATCGTCTTCTAACAATAAGAGGGGCTCGCCTCCTCACAGCGTAGGGACATCTCCTAATATAAGAAGCAGCCGTAAGTTGAGACTTCAATCTATTTCGTCTTTTCCTTCCCTCACCCCCAATCATTGACAGTCTTTTCTCCGGTGAAATCTTAAAAATTCTTTCAATGTTTAAAGTAGTTATATTGGTTATGTTCTTTTATTTGTATGCTGGTCGAACTTACTCTTTGACCTAGTCTCATCCATGTTTCTGTGAAAATAACTATGTTTATTACCTACCGAAAACACCATGTTCGTAACTACTGATAGCTTTTATTGAGAAAAATTATGTGAATGATATTGCCTTGCTTTTATTCAGAGGAGACCAACATGAAAGAAAAATATACTCTTGATTGATTTCTTGATATTGAAACCTATGATATTTGATTAAAAATTCAGATGAAATACCAATTCACTGGAAATTGTTTGAGCTGTACTTTTAATTGAAATATACTTGTTAATACGTTTGGATTCATGCAACTCCTGGTATGAGATTTGTTTCCTTTAGTTGTGAATTAGTAGCTTAGTTTTATCACAATTCCCTTATGGAGGCAGGGGAGCAACTAGCAACAATGGATTGATTGATCGCTATCGAAATAGAAGGGTTGACAGTGGAAGCCAGGCGGAAGACAGAAGGCAGTATCAACTTGATTTGGAAAATATCGTCAGTCGGGAAGATAGTAGGACTACTTTGATGATTAAAAATATCCCGAACAAGTAAGAAATGACAACAATTTAAATATCCATTTTGCTTTGAAACTACAGATTAATGCTGCATTTTAATTTTCCTTGTTTGAACGTAGACCTCAAAGATGCTACTTGCCGCTATCAATGAAACTCATGAGGGCACATATGATTTCTTCTATCTACCAATTGATTTGAAGGTGAGTT